GTTTTTTGATTTCAATAGCCTCGCGAATCATCCTTGGAAGGAATCAGTGTTCTTTAGCGAGGATTTGTGGTCTATCAAATCTGATGTAGTGACGGGGGTTATCCTGTACGTGTTCACAGACTGCAGACTTCCCGAAACGTTGATGCTTCACATCAGCTATATGTTCTTTAAATAAATTGTACCGCGTAGGTAACCGCGGTTAACTACGACTTCTGGACGTTGAACATCTCAGTCCCCCCATAGGTGCTGTAAAGTGCTCAAAACGTCGGGAATATAAAAAAGTTAAATATACGCGGTAAAATCTGTAAAAAGTAGTATTATTTAAATGTGTAGTATTTACATAAATATAAGAAATCATTAATAAGATTTGTGTGAATAACTAAAAAAAGAAAAAAAAGGAATAATATACCACGTTTATCATCCGATTCTGAGTTATGTTCAAAATTTCAAGCCTAGCACATCGGGAAGTGCTCGAAATTTGAGTTTCAATATTTCACCCGGAACGACACACAGATAAACAAGAACGTGACTTAATAAAACGTGCTGAAGTACCAACATCTGTTATATTATACCAAAAGAGCTCAGATTTTACAAATTGGAATGTAAATACCAAAGACGATCTCATTGGCCGTGGCCAGTAACCGTAAGGGCCTTAACCAGCCTGAGCTATTCGATTTTGTTTATTTTTTATAAGATAAAACAATAAAGAATTTGTGAAATGTATTCTCAATATGGCCTAAAAATAAGTCTTTTCATTTGATATAGTTAATATGATGTTTAACGCGGTTTCATCATAGAACCTCTGCAAGGAAACGCTTAAATAGCAGTTTTGTCATCTTTGGTTTATTTTATGTTATGATTCGCGGTTTGGTGAACAACCCTTAACCGTATGTTCGATTTTTAACAATGGTTTCGGATTTGCGTAATAATCACATTCAAGTTAGTTTACAGAGGTTCAAAATAAGTTAATGTACTGTAACGTCGCCTTAATTGATCCGTCGTCCTATCTAAAGTAATTAACTGTTACATTCACAAACGCTAGGCGACGTACATGATCAAAGTACGCGTCGTCAACATCCGAACCGTTGTTCGCTTTGTTTATTAATATTCAATTTTCTTTGGTACTGGGTGCTTTCGTACATAAATATTTGCACTTTTTATGATACAGCATAATATGCTTAACGATGTACATGATCCATAGCAGCGATATATGGTTAGTATGTGAATTTCCAATAATTTTTCCTCTTCTATTATATTACTATAGGGTCTTGTTTCAAGATATTTGACGTTTATTTTAAGTCTGTCAGCGTTAGAATTACACTAGATCCGACTAAATCTTTGCTATAGGGTAATACCCCCTGCCAAATTTACGGAAGAAGTCTGATGTTCACAAAGTTCTTAAAATACATTAACATGTTTTAAGAAATATCATTATGTACCTGTGAAAACATCACTAGATATAATTTAAACAGTTATGAAGTTATGATTGGCAGGCGTGGCATACCAGTAGTCGGCAAACCTTGGCTTTGATAATCACCGGCCTCTTGAATGTGGCTTTGCCGCAAATGACCACATGCGGGTGGTGTTACTGGTGGTTAACATTGCGTGTAACGTCACAGAATAACGCCTTCTCACTTGGCGAACTATAAAATTTTTAACGTAACTTGTAAATCGTAAATCGTATTATTGATGAGGACATTGAATCCTATCTAAAAATTAATACACGGTGCAAACCCTAACTTATCCAAGGTTTTTAGAAAATGCTAGGCCGTTGTTTACATTAACAGCTGGGTCCGTCTGTGTCATATTTTAATTTCGAGAATAGTACCTTATTAATTTATATATTTAAATTTTTATGAATAAAATGGAAGTCCGGCCCAGCTTCGCAGGGGTGATTGTGGGTCCTCCGTGTAGTGGTAAGTGTTATCTTCTTCTTATCATGTGTTATATATAAAAATCAATTGCTGTCGGTAGTCTTGTAAAAACTCGAAAATGGCTGAACCGATCTTGATAATTTTTTTGTGTTTTTGAGTTGGATGATCTAAACGATACACGCTATATACGATAGGTGGCGCTGTTATCGAGATCCGGACATCACCCGTGCGAAGCCGGGGTGGATAGCTAGTAATATATAAATTTCCATGATTATTACGTCCTATATAAATTAATATTTAGTTGTGATGCTTAGACGACAATCTTATGGACGACACTCGGTCAGTTCAACTGATCAGTTCAAACTAGGACTGTTGATATTTTTGAAATATCGGATTTTCGATATATCGATAAATAAACTTATACTATATAAAACTCAGATATTGATATATTTATAATTGTCGATATATCGAAAATAAATATCACCAGTCCTAGTTGAACTGACCATGTGTAGTCTATTAATCTACAGCCAGAGCATGCAGAGTATATAATATATATATATATGTTCTATATCAAATTTAGTTAATACAAACGTTTTAGTGTTTTATTGTTATTATTATTTTATTCAATTCCTTACGGCACAGGCATGCCTAAGGACCACAGAACTACACCATTGCTTATGGTGTAGTTCTTACTCCAGCTTAGTTGGTGTGATAAAATTTAGCTTATAATTGTATACTAAAGAATTAAGTATACTTCTATTTCATCATCTTATATTGTACATTATAATCTGTACCACGTTAGCTGTAAATAAACATTTTTTCATTTTCAATTAGTCATAAAGACTAATTGAATAAAATACATAGCAACATCAACAATATGGGTGGATTGTAGTTGTGTGTTGTGATGTCCCAAGTGTTTAATTATAACGTTTAAGTGGGCTACATCAATTAAAGGGGCTGCTGTAAGAATAACCAGTTAATTGTTTTAATCGCTGCATCTAGCGTGTAATCATTTGTTGTATTCAATTTACTTGGTTATGTTACGAGCTGTTGGTTGCTCGAAATCAGTATTACTCTTCTATTCCTTACTTCCTTTGAAAACTGTGCTAGTAATTGTATATAGCAACCCAATTATCTTAAGTGTATATCTTCTATATCGTATATCTTAGTAAACTTAGGGGTAGGGGGGGGGGGGGGTTATTTTTTTTATTTTGGTGATAAAGGGAGCTGAGTGAATATTAAAAATCTTACGTAGGATAAAAAAATTATAAAACATTAAAAAAATAAAACTAAATTGTGAAGATGAGCTACTAATTATAGTATTTTATGGTTATATCAACATAATTCTAGAGTTTATTGGTATAAATCTCATTGAAGGAGACATTTTTAATTAAATCTAAATAAAATCGATAATTATTTTGCACGAAATATAATGTAAGTATGAAATAGTCCGGTCAATTTAGACATTCGAAGTTACATAAAGTCCCAACAAGCTGAATTTCTGTGAAATTGTTCAAAACTTAATTATAAACAATGTCTAGAAGTTCCCCATCATTCCCCTGTAAGGAAAAAATTTTATTCAAGGTCAAAGGTAAAAAAATGAGTTTTTCGCGATTTTCAGGTAAGTTTTATCATAAAAGTACCTCAGAGAAAAATTGTAGATCATAAAATTATCTATAAAAAATGTATCAATACTTTTTTTCTTACGAGCCACCGTTTCTGAGATATAACGATTCAAAAAGTTATAAAAAGTTGTTATCGTCATAATATGCACACGTTTCCACGCCACCTATGAGGTACTTAGCGCGTTTTTTTAACGTGGTTTCCCCAGTATGCCTACTCCACGGGTCAGTTGTGATCCTGTTTAATGTAAAACTATTGCATAATAACGGAAATTTTCAAAGATTGGGAAAGATAAAAGCGATGTAAATTAAAAAAAAAGTGTTGAAGTTTATTCGTCTTATTTGTAAGTTTCAAATTCTTGTTCTTCTTCTTGATCTTCTTCTCCTGCTTCTTCTTCATCTTCATTTTGGATGCAAGTAAATTGCGTCAATAGCGATGTATCGCATGATACTTCGTCGGAGTCAAACGAATCTTCCATTGTTTGTGATTCAATATTAGAGCACGACCGGCCTTGACAATTTGTGCATGCCAAAGAACAAGACAGTCCGACTTTTTTGCAACCACATTTAGCACTGGATCCCTTTTTGCGGTTGCAAAAAATAGTGTTCAGCAGTATTTCCGGCGCAGGTGTAAGTAAAGTTTGAACTGGCTCTAATATATTGTTGACCAACTTCCAACCCCAGTCTGTAGGGTCTAGCTGATAACCAAGCCACACTTGAACTTGGTAATATACTCGAAAAAGATGTTGGTGAGCAGCAACTGAGGTTGGAGGAAGACAAGCTAATTGAACTTGTTTTTTATTTTTAGTATTTTTAACGAAACATGCATATCGATGCTTATCTAAACAGGTAGTTTTTTTAGGAGCCCCATACATAGAGTTGAATTACTCTTTTTAAAAACTTCAGCACATTGAATTAAATCTTGCTTTTCAAACATTTCATTTTACCTGATATTCTTATAGTTAAAACTTATGTATATTTTATATTGTAAGTATAAGTTACAATGACCGATAGAAAAATATTTAATATATATATATATATATATATATATATATATATATATATATATATATATTATAAAAAATATAACAACTCTAGATGTATATACGTGGCGTACTCATGTATATTATGACGATAACAACTTTTATAACTTTTTGAATCGTATCTCAGAAACGGTGGCTTGTAAGAAAAAAAGTATTGATACATTTTTTTATAGATAATTTTATGATCTACAATTTCTGTCTGAGGTACTTTTATGATAAAACTTACCGTTTTGCTGAAAATCGCGAAAAACTCATTTTTTGACCTTTGACCTTGAATAAAATTTTTTCCTTACAGGGGAGTGATGGGGAACTTCTAGACATTATTTATAATTATATTTTGAACAATTTCACTGAAATTCAGCTTGTTGAGACTTTATGTAACTTCACTCTCATTTTTTGGTCTAAATTGACCGAACTAAAAGTATATTTACGAAGCTTTCGTGTTGACCAGATCGCCAAGTATGGGAGCTAAGCAGAGCAAGCGCTCGGTGGACATCAGCGGGAAGGAGGCGGAAAGTGCCGGGGAAGTGGCCGCGGCAGGCGCAGGGGGCGAAGGCCGAGTGGAACAGCTCGCCGATGCCGACGCCCTCAAGCCGCAGCTCAATGGAGACGCGCACATACACGAAACCTCGGTGAGTATTATTGAATTATATCTTCTTTGTAATTTTTAGTTGGAAGCATCGTTGAATCTTTAAAACCTCCACATCTCATAATTTTTTGAATACGACTTATAGTTTTCTAATGTTTACCTAGGAGAAATTGTATGAATGACTAGGTAAGTCTTAAACTAGTTTTAAAGCGACAATAGTCGAATGGCAGGGTGTAGAACGCGAACTCAAAAGATCAAGGTCAAAGTCAAAAACACAAGCAATTTTAGCTTACCAGGAATGGTTAAAGGGATTTCTAAGTGACAGCATTCATCATCATTATCATTCACAAGTCCACTGCTGAACATAGGCCTCCCCTAAGGAATGCCACAAGGCACGGTCCTGAGCCACCTGCATCCATCGACTTTCTGCATGTCTTACCAGGTCGTCACCATCTAGTGGGCGGTCGCTCTACACTTTGTACGTCACGAGGTTCCCATTCGAAAACCCTTCGGTTGTATGTTCTTCGACCTATATGGCCGAACCATTGTTACTTCAGCTTACTAATCCGTTGGGCTATGTCGGTTACTCTGATTTTACTGCAGATATCCTAATTTCTAAGCTATCACATGCCGAGCATAGCCTTCTCCATAGCTCGCTGAGCGACCTTGAGCTTCCTCATACGGCCAGCAGTGAAGGACCATGTCTCAGATGCATAAGTTATCACTGACATCACGCACTGGTTGTACAATCTCGTTTTCGAGTTTTGAGGTATACCTGACAAGAAGATGTCTTAATTTCCCGAACGCTGCCCGGCTCAATCGACGGATTCACCTCGGCTGAGTTGTATCCGTCGATTGACCTCTCAGTCGAAGTTGGACTTACGTAGTCGGACTATTTGTCCTAAGTAAATATTATGTTCGTCACCAACAACGACCGGCGTAAGTGTGACATGGACGTTACACATGATCTTTATTTTGTCCATGTTCATCTTAAGACCTATCCCTTGGAAGGCACTATTGAGGTCATTGAGCATATAGTGCTTAGGTTCTCCAGCGATTCAGCCATAAGAACTCTATCGTCGGAAAATCTATGGTAAGTGATGTACGTACTTAATAGCATTACTAGTATTTAAAAAAAAGTTTAACTTTGACCGAGAGGATGGTCAATTGACCGATCCAACATAGATTGGGAAGCGTACGGGAGATTATCTTTTTTGTTTTTATCGTCACGTATACCTCTAAACTTGAAAACAAAAGTATAACAACCAGTGTGTGTTGCCAGTGACGACTTATGGATCGGAGACGTGGTCCTTCACTGATGATGGCGTGGTTATTTATTGAGCAGTAGCCTCGTATCGGTAAAGGGAGTGACGAATTGGTAAGAGATGCAGGATGTCGATGGAAGCAGGTGACTCAGGATCGAGCTTTGTGGCATTCCTTTGGGTAGACTATGTCCAGAAGTGGACTTGTGATGAAGATGATTTCCTAATATATGTAAATAATAATTACAATAATATTTCCCCGATAAATCTATATGATTCGCACCTGTGAAGCGTTTGTATGGCCTATAAATAGTTGTTCCAGGTCTGGATGTATTTCAGTGGTCGGTTTGACCGTGGGAGAACGACGCTTAAATTATGCCAGTGTATAAAAGCAACGAGGGTGCCTAGTGACAGGAGTTTGTCTCTTACTTACTGGTAACGAGGCGCTCCATCTTAGTTTTTAGTGGTGACGACGTATATTTATATTTTGTCTCTAAGCAAGGATAGAAGTAGACACAGTACAGCATCTGATGCTCATCAGTTGCTGGTCTGTGTGCTCGAAGCATTATATATTTTTACATATTAATATAACTGGTTTTAATACTGATTTGTCCTGGGTCTCTTAAGTAAATTCAGAAATTGAACATACTCTTTCTCGTATAAGCTTCTTTTTTATATTTTATGTTTGGATTTTTAATTTTCTTGAGAAATATATACAACAAGAATCTTATGAAAGATGGTGAGCTGACTCAAAGAACATTTAAATTACTTGTTTTAATTATAAAGCTTCAAGTATAGTAAGCTTCAATTTACTTAAATTTTTGTATTATTCATCAGTCACGTTGTCGTAAGAATCCGTATAGTTTCGTGACTTCCGTCCCTCCGCGTGTGGCTTTCAATTTTTTGCGCAAGTGCTAACAGCGTAGGGTTTCGGGGACAATATATTTTTAGATTGTATTCACATCGTGAGTTTTCGCTTTTGAAGGATATTCATTTATTAAAATAATAAAGTAAATTGCACTCATATTTTATTTACAATTTTTTGCAAGAACGTTAAATTAAGCAGTGATTTGGTGAATACTATGTATTTGTAGTATGTACATAAGTATTAAGTAATCCTAAATTACTCTGTGATTATCGAAGTGAAAGCGATTATCACAGACTAACTTCGTCCTAACCTACCTTGCATATAATAAGTTAGCATCAGAGGGTAGGCAGGCCTGCTATATGAAAAACAGAATATTCACATGTATTAAAACTGATTCGAACCAAAACCCGTTTATTCATCAGACGTTTCATTATTAATATTTTTAAGTATTGGAGCCACGTTTTTGCTATTTTACTGCTGCGACACGAATGGGTTGGCCGGCGAAGGACCACGCTCTCACTGAATCGAATGGTGAGTAATGAGAATAGAGAAACGGAGACGTTTTTTTACTGGAAGCGAGGCGTTCCATCTGAGTCCTCAGGGGTGATAGACAATGGTTCTGCGTTTAAATTCTTAATAGAAGACAGATGTGGACTCGTTTGTCATACTTAAATAAAAATAAAAAACCTTTAATTTCTTGCCTTTACTTATTTCACTCTTTTATCACTTATTTCATTTTTTTCTATATTTAATTAATAAAAAGAGAAACTATCGACATGCACTTGTGAGAAAATTATTAATTACATTATGGTTTCTTTATTTTTTTTTTCTTATTATAAAGTGAAACATTTATTACATTAACGAGACTTCATTTTAACGTGCTTTTTAAGTGATAACATAGCTTCATTTATACTTATCGCGGTGTAATTTGTTTTCGTATTGTTTTCTTTTAAGGACAAAGAAAAACAGTTAGATAGCGGCACGCCTGAAAATGAAAAAGATGCCGCCACAGAGAAAGAAGGAAAGGTGGCAGAGGAAGCAAAGGAAAAAGAAAGTCCCACCGCCGTAACAAATGGTGAAAGCGAGCCGAAGGAAGAAAATGGGGACACGGTTGCTACTGTTGAAGATGCAAAGAAACCAAAGAAAGAAAAGGTAACGTTAATCTAAGGTTCAAATATAGTATTCTGAGATAGAAATATTAGTAATGAGTAAAATTTTAACCTTTATTTTTAATAACAACGTTATTTTTTTTTAAATTTGCTGTGTTCATAATTGCCTGTAATAAATTAATCTAATGCTAATAAGTAGTAGGTATAATAGTTTGCCATATTGTTCTAATGGAAACATGTCGCGTGCAGGTCAAGAAGAAATGGTCGCTCAGGTCGATTAGTTTTAGCAGAAAAGACAAACCCAAACAAGATAAGAAAGTTAAAGAGGACGAGGCCAAAACGCCGAACGGCGAGTCGGACAAATTGCCAGAAGAGGTAAGTGCATTTAAATTTACGTTACCGTTACAGCTTATTAAAGTCTGCTGCTGAACATAGGCCTCCCCCATTGAGTGCTTCGAAGGGGGATATTTGCCATAGTAGCCACTCTTGGCAAGCGGGTTTTTTTTTTGTTTTTCCCTTTGTCGCCTCTTACGAAACCCACGGAATGATGAGGTAGTGGATATTCTCACACCGCCTCTACACGGTCAAATACACGATGAGTAAGCGCAAATGCTCTAATAAAAAGACCTCATTTTTTCGTCATTTTCAAGTTGAATGATTTGACTGTACGCGTTTGCGTCTAAAGCAATAACTTTCTAGTTTTCTATACCGACAGTATCTTATTCGTATTCCGTTAACGCCGTCCGGTGTGTCAATGCAGTGGCGACCCAACGTGCGCTCGAGTTCTATACGGAGTGCACCATTCATCATGCGAGCAGCTTGCCCCACTTACCTTCCAGCATTGTCTGTTTACACATAAGCAACAGTTCAAGTATAACTGAATAACATAAATAAGGATGTACGTACAATATTTGGATTTACAATCGCGTGTCATCGACCTCGGCGTGCCGTGCGAATAGTGGAGGCGATGTGAAATCGCACGCGTCTCGCCGGTACTGCGCAGAACTGGTACGAGGGCGACCGCGACCATGTTCTCTGAAAGTGGCCAGCCAAGATCATAAAACGCGTTAAACTTATCTCTTTATTAATCTGATATAACTTCAACGACCAATCTTGGTTTCCTTCTGTTTTTACCAAACGAGTTTTTGTTATGGTAAGTGTGGCAAGCAATCTTTTGACGCAACCTTGCCTAGCAAGAAATCAAGCGATTTCTATGACTCTAAACTATTGCGACGTCGGTGCATTGCACTCGGGCGGTGCGGCGGCGTGAGGAACAATGCGCATTATAATTCAAAATGGTGCTATATCCGCACTAGGCGAACGTGATCCCTCCATTACAGACTATGAGACAGCGCTTACCGTCACTTATTCCATTGACGAACACACATAACGTCGACCATCGGTGCCTCCTGTAAACTCTTTATTTATAGTGCACGTACAAAGAGTTCGTATAATACGCTTCACTCGGACGTTATTAGCCACGACCTTCGTTTACAACGGATCGGTTGCTTCTTTGTTATGAACTTTATTTCCTGTTTAAGTTTTTAACGGCTTTCATTGTCAGTATACTTATCGTAATATGTGTATGCCCTTTTTAGTAAAAGTTTTTACTCTTCTAATTTCTAACTAAGCTAGTATCGTAAGGTTATATAATTGTGTATTTAAAATTAGTCATATCCATTTTTTTCTAACAAATGTGGTTTTCGTATATCATTACGTTGACTAAAATTCCATAAAATTTACATTTAATAATAAAAACAAAAGTACAAAGGCTATTAATATGTTTTATAAAAAATGGCAAGTATTTAAAAAAAAATAGGTCGCCTGAACATTAGCAATGCAAACAATTATTATTTTAAAATCAAACATTCATTTAGTCAAAGACAAAGCATTATTTTACATACAATTATATTCATGACCCTACTCTACAATATAAACCGACGTCATTTATTGTGGTGTGCGTATGTATTTGGGAATCGCGCGCACTTATCAAATGCTCACAGTTGCGTTGTTATACGCGACGAATGTTTACGTCTCGGCACATGTGCCGATGTGCGGTCGTTACCACTCAGCCTCCCACAACGAAACGCTTCTGACACATATATTCTATAAAGCAGACGTTCTCTAATTATTGCTCTCGTATGCTTATAAATTTTGTTATACGTATACGTAGTGCATTTATGTTCTGAGATGTCTCTTATCGTATTCTTATATATAAAAGTTGATTGCTCGCTAAAACTCGGAAACGGCTCAATCGATTTTGATGTGTGTATTTGAGTGGATCCCTGGATGATTTAAAAACTTAATTGGATTCGGTAGGGGACGCTGTTATCGAGGTATAGTGCATTGGGGTAAGATCGGTGATGGGGTAAGACCGTAAAATTCAAATTCCCGGTGAATTATACAAAATTTTTGAAAGCTAGCAATATGGTACAAGACTCCATTTTATTCTGCCCCGAACCCAAGTTCCAGCCAGTCGCTCCGAGAAGGGCGTGTGCTGCGCAGTATTTTATAAAACAAAGTAATTTTTGTATTTTTTTCGTCCGTCCACTTTATACTATCACTTTTATTTACGATTTTTAGCGACGTCCGGTCTTTACCCTTGATGGCCAATACTTCATCATGCATATAAAAAATTATGCCTTGTCTTCGCACACGTTTTAAGCAGAAACTGTTGAGTTTTGAAAAGTAAAAGCTTCTTATAGCTAAATTACGTGTAACCATTAACGGTTTGCGCCATGTTTCAGAAATGTGACGTATATGGATGTCGAGAAAATATAGTTTTTGCCAGACTCTTTTAACTAGTCGAAAATCGTCCGGTATTACCCCAACGCACCTTATAGAAATCACCCGTGAGAAGCCTGACAGCCTAGTATGATATAAAAAATTAATACATATATATTTTAAGTTAAATAGCCATACGTTTGCTTGTTAAAAGAAACTGTTTTCTTATAAAAAAGAAAACGCTTATTGCAAAAAGCAAAGTTTAAATCGCCGGCAAATTTGTGTTTACATTGGTCGATAGTCGATACCTGTGCTTTTCATTCGCGCATAAAAACGAGTTACCGTTATTGTCTTTGTGCGTTTATACTGCAAGAAATAAATTACCTTTTTATGTTGTTTTTTTTTTGTCAAGATTGCAAACTTAATGATATTTAATAATGTGAAAAGGTTTAATTAAAATCACAAAATGCGCAAAAAAATATTGTCTGAAAATTTTTACTTACAATGACCTTAATAATGCAATGCGGATCAAGACACCTTTTTGTTTTATAAAACTATAGTAACAAATTAACTTATAGTCCAGCTGTTAGTAAGTAAGACTACAGCTGTCCATGGACACGTGCAGACAACTTAATGCATAGGAAGTACTTAGAAGGCGCGTTGACCGCCCTGAGGACCATGTAATGTTTCACAGGTCATAACAATACTGCCCCGTTGTACCGTTCAGATCGGAACACAGCAATGCTAGCAGCTACCACTATATTAGCCGCACAAATAGGAATGAGGGTAGATGTTAGTCTGAGTAGCTACCACATGCTCAGACTGGAAAAAGGACTCCTACCACCTACTAAAAGAGACTATACAACTGTAGGGTTTCTTGTTTGTATATAGAACTAAGATATATGACGTTTGGTTTAAATAGTTTTGTTAAAACTAAATATTTTGTACAATAATATAATACATGTCGCTTGCGCTACCGTCGCTCTATAATCTAAATAGATGTTAGTAATTAGTACAAGTAAAGCTAGTAAATTACTAGATATCCTTGCATAATAATATAACAAATTGTTTTTCATAACATAATATTAAATTCCTTTTTACGAAATTTTGAATCATCTGTGGGTGGAATATATTTTTCAACCGACTTCAAAAAAGGAAGAGGGTTATCAATTCTGCTGTATTTTTTTAATGTGTTACCTCACAACTTCTTATATTTTATTTGAAAGCTAATGCCTCTCAAGTGGTCCAATGTAAATTTGATCAAGATCTGACCAGTAGTTTTTGAGTTACATAAACATATAACTCACGCCTGTCACCCAGAGGGGTAGGCAGAGACTACGGACTTCCATTTGACACGATCCTTACATACCTCTTTCGCCTCCTTTACATCCATATATCTACGCATACATGCTCGTCGGTTAAGGGTACTTCTAACGTGGCCCATTTTCAAAATATCGCCAATTTGGTCGATAAACTTTCGTCTAGGGCGTCCCTTCCCGACTCTGCCGTTGACATCTGCCATATAAATTTGCTTTATCACTCTTTCCTCATTCATTCTTTCTACATGACCAAACCACCAAAGCATTCCTTTCTTAATCCTGGTCACAACATCATTTTGCATACCACATTTATCTCTTATCACGCCATTGAGTTATCCTTAATAATGCGTGTTTAAAGTTTACCACTTGTTATAGACGCAATAGAAGTTAGAAATGGTATGTATCTGCATGGAATAATTCGCGAGGCAAGTTTATGTGCAAAATAACATTAGTAGTGCCGGGCAGGTTTCCAAGGCTAGCTGGCGGACCGGACCAGTCGCCGCGGGCGTGTGTAGGAAGCTCCTCCCGGCTCGCCCTCTACCTGCTAACGTGTCTCGCCTTCGCTAATTCTCATCCGAACTTATCATCGATTCCAGTCTTTAATAACCAGAGTCACTCGATCAACATGCTACACTGCAAGGCTAGAAAGCTACACACAAGCCGTCAAAGACTGGAAATCGTGCATTTGGAACAATGGAAACTATTATAAAATTATAAGTAATATACTTAGACTTGGAGGCTTGTGTTCAGCTGTGGCCTTGTGAAGCGCTGTAAAGATGATGATGATGAGGATAATAAGACCTATTTACTGATATTAGAGATTAGATAAGGCATTGTAGCACTAAATGTTTTCTCACGTCGCCATTTTTGAGAGCTGTGTGTAGTGTTTAAAATTAAGTTGAACCAAATAACTACAAATGCCGCAACAGTAATAAGTAGTAAACGACGTTATAAAAGCTATTATTTTATTATTGCCGTTGAAATAGGAAACATTAATATTAAAGTTTACATTTTCAATTAATAAAATTAGGGTTGTAAAAAAGGTAAAGAGGTAGTTTAAATAATGAAATAATAATAATTATTATTTATTAATATCAGCGCTTAAAGGTTTAAAGCTTTAGCGCTTGTCTTGTGGTGATGTAAAGGAAACCATCACCTCAATTCGTCCTGTGGGTGTTTTAAGACATGCGACTATTCCACAAAATTCTCGTGTCTTCTGATAGATACCGGTATAACCATGTCAGTTTCGCAAGACGTAAAATACCCAAACCGGTGTAGGTAACGGTGTCAAAAATGTGAGGCGTAGTGAGAATGGTAAATTTTATTTTTATTTATTTTGTAGAAAAAGGGGACCAACAAGGTATTCTGTGAGAATATGATCTTTTCCCGGTCAGGCCGACCCATTCGTGCTGTACCCATAATATAGCTAGAGCGTAGAGGGCGTGACTGTATCTCGTAGAAAATAAATTGGTAAATCCTAAAAAAAAAGATCAGGCTTAGGTGAACTATTGGGAATCGATGAAGGACTAATATTATAATACGTTTCAAATTGACGATTGTTACTTATGGTTTTGTAAAAATATAGATAGATTATGAAAATCATATCGCGCAAACAATGACGTGTTGTTTACAGCTTCTTTATACACTATAGTCACACTATACATCTGCAGACGGGATCCATCTCGTGTTCGCTGCAGTAGCATCAAATGAACAATGATATCCATTGTGTTGTACAGTGACGTACAAAGTTCCCGCTAGAGTTACAAACGCGTCGTGTTGCATGTTTATCAAACTGCGGTCAGCACCGGCTATTCGGAGTTCTCTGTCATATTTTCATAATACAAACGGTCGTGGCTTTGACATAACAAGGAAGGATTCCGTTTCCTATTGACACTAACAGTACTCGATGACGGGGTGCACAGATAGACAGTTATGTATGTACATGTACGTGTTCAGACGGTGATAGCGTGGAAAGTTTTTCTGTTATCGCTAGGCGATGACAAAAGGTTGCCTTTACTAGTTGACTGTTTTGTAATTATATTATACATATTTTTTATATATGTATATTAAAGGTTCAAAATATTATTTGAAATGTAATTGCGCAGATCTCTGTATATATGCAAACTTTCTTAAAATCGTACTTTTAATACATAATGTTGTGTCCTTACTCTTGTCTGTTCTAAAAGTAAATATAGGTTTTTACCACTACGTAACGTCGGTTTCGGTGAGAATTGAAGGTTATTGCACTATTTCATGGCGTTAGCAGATAATCTTAAAAGAGCACACAAACTAAAGTGTAATTAAATTTTGACCTGAAATATGTATTTGTTTCTAGGGTTATGTACTAAACGATTCTAAATATTTCTCGAAATTCTTTTATTGAAAGCGTGCCGGAATAATTCAACTTCCGGAGCTGTGGTTGCCACCGCACCGTAATATTGTAAAGACGTGGAACTATGTACGCCTTAATAGTCTTGTTATTGAAGCAGCTCTCGTAGAGTGAAGGTAATTCTATATCTATCTTAACTTTGCGAGTAATTGGTGCCAAGAAAGGGCGTTCAACCGTCGATAGCTCGATAGTTTCGCTGTTTCGCAGTCGGCGATAGCGCCGCGCCGGGATCGGCTGCCTCTGTCAACGTCACGCATTATCTATGCAAATTGTGCGTGTCGCCTGCACCACGATACTTGTGATACATCATTGCCGTTGCAAAGCTCGCGACCAAGCTTCACCTTGTGCAATGTCATTAAAACTTATTTTATACAAACAAACTAGATTGTAGGTTATTATTATATTCCCATATACTTGCTGAGCTCGATGGACAAGACTTTTTCACTTTCTTATCAAGTACAAACAGTGAATACTTGTAGTATTACGAAACTAGATATTTTACCAAGTACCACACACATTTTTTAACGAGGTATTCCATCTTAGTCCTCGGGAGTGACAACGCATCTGCGTTTTGATTCTTAATCGCGAATAAATGTAGATGTCTATGGACCACAGCATCCACTTAGTGGACTGTGTGCTCGTTTGTCACTCGTACTCTTTATAAAAAAAAACATTGTTTTACACCCATGACATAACCACTTGTCAAAATTATTTGTTGAGAGCCATCGATATAAATGACAAGATATTATGGTCGTGCGAACAAAAAGTTTTCACTGTAGCGTAGAATATATCAACGCTATCTCTTAAATACTCATAAACTACCACGGAACTAGTGTTTTCACTTACGATTTTGGTTTTACCCTTAAACCTGTAGGAATACTCCCTAAATTATCGTAAAAAAAAACAAAATAGCCTAATTTATTGCACCTAATTTTCAATATTTTTTTACAAATTTAATATAAATGATGTTGCATTGCAAGTTTTGAATATCATTTCACGATTAAAATCTTGAGTTTTGTGATGAAGATGTTCTCATTTTAAAATTATTAGGTATAACAGTCTCATAAGACCTAAGTAAAATATTATACTATAATTCCGATATACAGAATGAAAATCTTTCTCATTCTGCACTTTTCTAACTCTTTTGACGTTTTCTCTTCGATAGATAAAAAAATACATTGGGTTAGTATAAAAATCAGGGTTACCTGGAGTTCGATTTTACCCCAAATTATACAAAACCCTGTCAACTTGAAGAAACACCTAAGCCCTAACTATATTAGTAGCCCTAAAATAGTACAAAATATCTAAAAGTGGAAATACTGCACGGACGTACGGCACGAATATAATGCGTCCATATTGAAACTACGCGCCTTATTACTAAGTGGATATCGCCGGTTAATCAATTGTAAACGGTAATTAAAAATTTTTTTAACAAATATACGTCATACATAATTTTGTAGAACATAATTATGCCATCCCTTTTTTTAGTGAACTTTTTATCGGAATTAATACACTTTTACCATACAACTCGGCCTTTTGGTAATGCAATGCGACGTCAGCTCACGTTTGAAATCAAGAAAACACTGAAGTCGCGTTGGTGCTCAGTGCTGCCAACAGCGCTGGCCCTAATGTCGCCGATTCTCATGCATGAAGTAGCCTAATATCGCCGAATTTCAACTGTAGTAGCCTAAAGTAGCCCAAACACTAAACAAAAATTAGGATTATTCTGATTCGTCCTCTGCTAGCAATAATAAGGCATCACCAAGACTTTCGCCGTCTTCAGTAGTAGTTGATGTGCTAGTACTAGCGCAAGATCCACCGGAGACATACATTTTTCTGCCAGCGTGCAAACTCACCATGTGATTGTTTGGTTGAAAGTTGTTACAACACAAACCTCTTACATTCATGTGGGTACGAATCCTAAGAATTGCGATCAGCATGGGTAGTTGCATGCGATTCCTTAATTTTGTTTTGATTGTCCCCATTACGCTGAAAATTCTTTCAACGACGGCATTACTCAAAGGTAATGAAAGGCATCGTATCGAAAACACTGCTAGTTCTTTAAACATCAGGCTTCCACCAGCATTTTTCATTTTTAGCACTTGTATCCAAAAATTTACAATGTCATTAGGAGAAGCAGCTGTTCCGATTATCTCCTCAATGCGCATAGTGCTTAATACGCGCCATTGCTTCATAACAGCTTCTCGGTCAATATTGGGATCACCTAACTGCCAGGGAAAATCTTTAATGTTGGGTTTGCCGGTTGAGAGGCATACGCGGCTTGGTGCTAAAAGTTCAATTTTTTCCACCACCGACACATTAAGCGGTAACCTGTCAACTAATTCTCTTACTAAGCGTACAAGAAAAGCAGAACATCGTTGCTTCACTTCTTTGGCTTTGTCGGCAGAAACAGTCTTTTTTTGCAAGTAAATCATTGAACTTTTCTCCAAAGTCAATTGAGTCCAGTGGAAGCAGTGAATTTTCAAATGGAGCTCCGGCCTTTTCTAAAGCTCGCCTAACAGCTGCAATATCTGCTTCATGGAGCATTGATACAGAGGCATTTTCAGACAGACTTTGACTTCTCAGAAATATTGGTTTGAAAACACGTTGCAATGGTAAGTAAAAGAATCCGAAGATCAGCTATATATTTTTGTAATATTTGCATCATTTGCTTGAAATATAATATTCACATTTGTTACTTCTTTTAATATCGGAGACAAAAACAACAAATATAATAAATTTGTATCATCATTATACATGGCAGCAAGCTCCCTTGCTGTATAACATCTTTCTGATGATTTCACCACATTAAAGTGAGTTTTTAGCTCAAGCCACTGATTGATGTTTGTTTTAACAGCTGAATGAAACGCCAGCCATCCAGTTGCGGATAGCTGAGTTAGTTTCAGGGGTTTTTTACCATCATTAATGGTTTCAAATAAGGTCTGATATATTTTCATTCGCAGTGGACTGTGGGCAAACCACTTTCTGGTTTCCCTAAGTAAATATTCCAGACAAGACGGTAATTCCGTGCACGCTTTAACTAAGGGAGTGACACACACATTTCAATAGCTGTAAATGGGGTATATCTGCTTGTAAGAGAGTGAAAAGGGAGTTATGTTTGCCACAAAGGTTACTTGCTCCATCAGTTCCTATTGCAATTAGATTTTGAAGATTCAAACCCATTTTAGACATAAAACTCTTAAATGATGTATATAGGCCGCTAGCTGTTGCTTCAAATACTTCTTGAAAGCCTAAAAAATCAACAACTATTTTTTCTAGTTTTGAATTATAGTATCGGGTGCAATATGCCATGTACTTTTCTGTTGTTACGTCAGTGGATTCATCCAGTATAATAGAGTAGCTCTGGTTACCAACTTCTTCTAAAAGTTCCTTGAGCATGGCTGGTTCTAGAACATTTTTTATAATGGCCGAACACTTTGATCTATGTAATTGAATGTTTTCAAGAGGACTCCCTGTCCCACAGGTTTTTAACACATCTGTCAGATGATCAATGCTGCGTATGGAGCTGTGAGCAGCGACATAGGCAGATATTTGTATGTCTATTATTTTTTTCTTTTGATGAACTGTTACTAATTGAGGAGTAGCCAAACGATGCAAGCTTGGGTTGCTTTTTAGAAAAACTTAATTCTTTGTCTCTATGTGTTTTAGTTTTCATGTGCTTTTCTAAATCCGTTTTGTGCGCACGGAGTAGTGTGATACATAATTTACAAAATGCCTCACCTTTACCACTATCCGTCAGTACAACAGGTGCTCGACTAAGCCAATCTGTAAAAGAAATTGAACTCAATAATACACTAGGCAGTAGGTATGCATATATTGTATGTACCAGATAGGTATGGTACTAGTGGTTGATAATCAGATCATATTTCTTGCTATTTGTGCAGTTTCAGTCTACTTAATACATCTTAAATAGTCTGGGTAAATATTAAAAAAATGATTGTGAAACTAAAAACCACGACTCCTAATTTAGTCTGGAACACAGGTCTGGAAGAAATAAGACCATGTAACAGATAATATACCTACCTACATCACACAAAACATTAATATAAAACGGTACTTTAGTTTTTACTTACTTTTAAATGCTGGCAGTTTTCCCATTCATCACGATAATGCTTGATATATTTACCATGTTTACCCATTTTACAAAACAAGCGCAGGAGAAGTTTTACAAAGCCAAAGTTACCAAGGAATAACCGGAATTTATCTGAACTATTTAGTCAGTACAACACAGATAATTGCGGTAGTCATTATTCATAATAGAATACATGTAAACCTATTGCATTCTAAATTTGGTTACATAATAGCTAAGACAAATTCAGGGTATTCCCCAAAAATAACCAATCACAAACAAATAGGGTGACCATCTTAATATCAAATTGTACCAACATTACACACACGCACGGCCGTATGCCTGTTTACATACTAGGTAGTGTAGTATAAAAAAAAACTTGTCCCTAGAGTAGCCTAATTGGCGACCAGTCGCCTTTTAGATTTTTTCGTCGCCGATTCTCGTTCTGAGTAGCCTAAATGGCGAAAAATCGCCTACGTTGGCAACACTGGTTGGTGCTCCATAAACATTTTCGCACCAAGGAGTCTGTGCCATTTTGTTTGTTCAATAACCCGGTCCATACGCAGTTCTATGTTGAGAACAATGCTGTTGCCGTTTATAGCGGCCTTAATGAATTTATCACACCATTTTGTCTTAATAAATTAGCTTACAAATAGCTCACGTCCTACAGGCCTACATATGCCACAAGCGCAGTGTTAGATGAAGCTGTGCAAGTGTTTAAATTGAAATTTTGTACAATCGACTTCAATATAAATAAAATGAGAACGTCATCAATGTAGTCGAAAGTGAATTAATAATACTATATAATAATAATAATACAATACTTTCGAATTGAGAATCTCCTCCTTTTTTAAAGTCGAGTGAAAAGCCAAAAGACTAACAGCACTAACATCTCAGAATGATGCTGTCTTAAGAGGCGACCTGATGTGCCAAAAAGATCATATGGCTTGCGTTAGATGTCGGTACAACCATCTCATTTACGTTAAAATTCTCAGGCCGGTGTTAAAACAAAAAAAAAAACATAATCTTGATAGCGATTTCGGACCGTGGCAGCAACTTTGGAAAATTGAAAGTTGACTGCACAAAACATATTATAATGCCTCCTCTTGGGGCACCAAGATACAGAGACAAGTGCTAGGACATAATAGGAAATAACATACTGGGTGACAGGAGTCTGTGAACATAACTAGGGCGAACTTTTTACATATTTCTGTTGTGTTTGAGTTGTGTTGTTTGTATACAGCAGCCACTTACATTCAGAATCTGAAATCGTTTCGGCCATGTTCAAATTGAAGATAGCCGAGCCGATATTGGTTAATTGAATGAATTTAGTCACAGAAAGTTCATTCTAAAAGTTTTGTTTTGTTTTGAGGTTAGTTTTATGTTATTTATCAAATGAGACTTTAATTTAGAATGTAGAAGTACGATTTAATAAAAATATCTAAGTGTTATCTATTGTATTATTATTTCATAATAATACAATAGCATAATTTTTGCGAATGCGAATGCGAATATTCGTTACATTCACGAATTCAGATGAACTGTATATTCGTTTGGTAATTCAGTTATATAAAAAAAGGCAGTCGACATTTTTTCCAAATGTTAAGTTATTCATTTGGAATAAAATATCGAATGTCTGATACGAACAGAAGTACCATCCTCTTACCATTTGCTACCGCCGAGCAGTAGTGCGTGCATTGATTGCTTTGTTCCGGTTGAAGGGTATAGAGTCCAGTATGATTACAAGGCTTTGAGGTAGTAGCCAATTACCTGCTTGTGGGTTGTAAGTCCGTTTGTCACGTTTATATTTAAGTACAAAGACACGAAGACACTACGTAGATCGCTCAATAAGTTTTAAGATGCTCGAAATTTAAAACTAGAACGCACCCGTGTTATATGTTTCTAAAAAGTAAATTTATTTAAAAATAGAAAAAAAAACAAAGTTCTATTAATTTTCCTGCAACGGTTCCCGCGCTTTTCATTTAAAACGATGGATCTTAACCGCGAACATTAGAAGCGATTTCCGACCTGTCAGATCAAGACTAGCAAAAGTGTTTTCAGAGTTGGTTTAGGCGAATGGAACTTTGTATAGAACATGATGGGAGAATATTTTGAAAAGATGTAAAATAAATATTAATAGTATCTAAAATACTTATTGTATATCTCAAAACTTATTGAGTGTCCTGCGTACAGTACTTTCTTTTCTTCATAAGCCCGTAACGTAAGACGTCTACTGCTAGACATAGAACACCTCCATAGTAAGTAGGAGAGGCTTTTTATACTATTTGTTTATGGGTAATAAACGAGCACACAGTCCACATGAAATAAGTAGATACTGTGTAAGCGATGTCTTTCCTGAGGGCTTAGATGGGTTGCCTCGTTACCATTAAAAAGGGTCTCCTGTTTTCGTCTCTTATAATACAAAACACAACACCATTATGCTGCTATTTCACGTTGGTATGACCTGGTTAGACATTCAGGAAGTCTACGGATGCAGTTTGGCGCCAGACCTTGTTTAGCAGATTTCCTTGTGGAAAGCGTACGTTTGCTCTGGTCTTGTGTAAGGCTGTAGTGAACAGAATTTATATCACATACCTACGTATGTAAATTACCCACAGCAACTTTGTGAAACAGTGTCAAAGGTTTGTATATCATGGTAGTGCGATCAACAGTCCGACTGACTAGCGTGGCGATTACGGCGGTTTAAAACATAACATGTCGACATAGAGATTCCATTTTAAGGCTACTTATTTCTATTCGTTACTATACCCCACTGCATATGTATCCGTAATATTTTTTTTCTATACTTATTAATCATTCTAAAAATTGCGGTCAAAGCCGTTAAAACGTCGCTACTAAGATGTATGAATCTATTATTTATTACTGAGACAGATGCGTCACGTGTATGTGTAGTACGTATAAAATTTACGCAGTCTGATTCACGAGGTGTAACACCAAACTGACTCACGAATAATATGAATGGCTCTATTCAGTGACGTGTACGCCACGAAAATAACGGTCCACTATTCTTTTACAAAAAATTCAAATTTTAGCTTAATGTTTACATAGCTCTACTTAAAAATCAGAGAAGTATGATTGAAATAATCGTATCATTTCCCCATTTACTTCAACCGGTGCATCCATCTAATAAACAATAAACAGCCACGAGCTTATCGCGTACGTGCTCATGGGTGACGAGCAAAAAACCATCGCTCTTTATTGTTCTTTGACAATTTCCGCTTCACAGTGGACATAATTGAAGAGTGAAACATGGACACTGACATTACACAGCGGAAAATCGTTTCCATAGTTTGACTCGTATTGTGCTGATGATGATGACTCACCACCGCTTTGATTTACCGTTACCACACGGCTTATCGAACGATGATTTAGAGGTAATAGAACGGCATGCAAACATTCCAGTCATTATTGCTTCTTTTTTATAATATATTAATTTTGAATAAGTAATGCAGCTTACATTATTCATTTTAAAGCTAAAATTAAGGTAAGCGTACCTTAATTTATCGCATATTTTACGATTGCCATAGTCACGAAATATAATTCTCAAGTAAATTTTAAAAGTAAACTAAACTCCTTCGAATTCTTTATTTTCTCCTTACTAAATCTGTTTACAATTATTCAATAGAGCCTTATTCAGGTAAATCATTTAAATATTGAAAAAAAAAACTTATAAATATTCAAAAACGCGCGATAATTTCAAGCGTTTCACTCGAAAACTGCGTCGTCGCTGTAATGCGAGTAGGTAATTATTTTCTTTAATATGTACACTACAGTAGCAGCTAATATTGACAGCTTGCACGTTTAATCGTCAATTTATTGCTTTCTACTGCCTGTTTGTAAATGCTAATGTTTTAAACGTAGAGATAAGGAGCAATGTAAAAATACAAAATTAACTTTATCTGTTTGTCTTTTTGTTAAACAAAAGCATTCTAACAAATGTATTGTTCCTCCACTATTATAAGTTATAACTATGCCATATATATTTTAAATTAAATTTTAAATTGGTTTAACTTAACATATTATATAATTACTTTCACAAAAAAAATGTAGAAATAAATATTTGTATCGTATTTTTTATTTATTTAACATAATCATACCTACGTACTAAGTAGGTGTGATTAAGACGATAAAACCTAGTTTCTGAACCTTAATTTACAAAGGATCTGATGTTACTTGTTGATAATAGTTAATTTTCAATTATTGTCCATATCATCATGGCACTCAGACACTTCACGACAATTTCTTCATGAATCTTCGTAAATAAATATCTTGTCTTTAAAGGCCTCATGAGAAAAATTGTGTGATACTGGTACATTGTGGTCCTCTACACTTAGTGAGTACATGACTGACGGAATAATTCAAGACAAGTATTGATGTACTCCTAGTGAGCAGTATCTATTTACATCTGTAAACGAAGACGTCCTTGTAAATCGGTATCGGTTTATTGTTGATCTCAGTAGTGCGGTTGCGGGCTCAGCACAGGATAACAATTTGGTCATTTGCCAATCTAGAATTTCATTCGATTTAATTTGTTAATTGTATCCGTCCGTAGGTACTATGTCCACTCATAACGGCGAGAAAAATAATATGACGGTTTAAATAAAACAAAATTAACTTAAATGAAGGGCCGGAATGTTTATTACCTCATTAGAGTTAATAATTTTTTTTCCGCAAACAGATGCTGTATAATACTCGTGTTATACAACTGTATCAGTTAAATAACCCTTTATCGGAACTGTATATATATTATACTGGATTCTGAAACTATGACAGTTTGTCATGCATTGATTAATTCAATTTGAAACCGTCCCAGAACAAGATGCCCATAGTTATTTTCGTTGGCATAATCTTTTATGTTCTAACACGGCTCGTGTATTCCATTGTAATCATTTAAAAATTATTAATCACTTCAAATGTCATTTTTAAAGAAAAATTATCTGTATGTATATCTTCGAAATCTGCAATAAATATATAATAAACAAATAATTAGATGCACATCATTCATGCTGCAACCCTAGGTGGTAATATAATATGTGATCGGTCGTGAGCATTGAAGGGTAAATAATAAATATCAAACCCAATAATAAGCATCAATCTCCCCTTACAAGAGTACTATAAATATTTTAACTCTCAAATGTTTCCCTTCAGTCTCTCATGTGCAATTATTGCAATAGTCATCAATTAAGTTTCTATAATGGCCGATATTCAGGTTAGTTTTTTTATTAGGTAGCATTTATACAAGGCTGAATAAGTTTTGTTTTTATACCATGTTGTGTAGACCAATATTTATCAGTGTATAGCTTTCCACTCCTATTTAAATTTCCATTTTCAAATATAATAAATAATTTGTGTTATTATATTCCTTGCTTGCAGATTGCAGAAAAGACTCCTGAAAATGCAGTTAACGAAGTTGCCGAAGAAGCTAAATCAGACACAGATACAAAGGAAGAAAAAGCTCCAGAAACCCCAGTCACAGAACCTATCACCAATGGAAGCAACACACCTGAATCCCCTAAAACAGAATCCTCCCCTATCATTGAACCTATCCCAGAAACTCCAGAAGACAACAACAGGCCTGAACCAAAAGCCGCGTTGCCTGAACCTGAGCAATTGCCTGTCAATGGACTCTCTTTGGAGGAACCTAAAGTTGAGGCTCCAGAAGTAACAAAATTCGAGGAAATCAACACTGAAAAAACTCTTTCAGTTACGTCAGAATCGGTTCCGGCCCCAGAAATTGCTGTTACGAAAGAGGTTTGTGTTGAACAAATGCCTATGATAGAGCCCTCGCCTCCTCCACTCCCTGCTAATCCCCCTCCTTCATCAGTGGCTTCCTTTGCTGCAACCACTATGGCACCTGAATTGACAGACGCTTCACTCGCCACTTCTACCGACATTACCACCACTACATCACCAATTGCTATTACAGACACTAAAAAAGATGTTATTGACAACAATACTTCAGAAAGCAACCACGATCAAGTCGACGTTGAAATTGATACTTTATCTGCTTCTAATGAATTTAAACCAGAAAAGTCAATCATTCCCACTATAACATATAATGGAAGTGATAATGAGACTGACATGGCTTCGGATTTGAAGAACTATGAAAGTGTTTCCTCGGTGTCTGTTACACATTCGGAAGTAATTGTACCTGACAATGTAGAAATCCCTGTAATGTTGACCAATGTATCACATTCGCAACAAGACTTGTCCTCTCCTACTATACTCGAAGTAAATTCAAAACAAAATTATGACAATACTGACGCTGTGACAGACAAAGAATCAATAAGCGATGATAAAGAAATTACAGTTAACAATTACCATTTACAAAATGAAGAATTCAATGACAGTAGCGTGGTAGGCGCTGAAAATTTGAAGAATACTGCCAAAAATTCTCATGAAATTGTTAAAGAACACGAATGCAACGGTAAAATGGAAGATGAGAAAAGTGAAAGTGAAGACGTAACTCCGCAAGTAAACATGGTGGAAGATGTTATACTGGAAGCGGGCAAAGCGACGACGCCCGATGACTCGATGCCGCCGTCACTATCGGAGGCGATGGAGTCGCAGGCGTTCGAAGTGAGCAATGATGCTTCGGAATCGTTCCCACTGCCCCCCAGCGAGTTGTGCCGCTCCGAGGAGGCCTCTCCCCCCAACTCACCTCCGGCCGTCGCCTCACCACAGGTGAATACAAGTAGAAGCAGATTAGTTCCATAATAAGAGTTCTGACTATCTTAGTTCATGTGCATCTTAATACCAGCATGTCCATTGAACACTAAACAACAGGAAGAATTGAAGCGTCGTTACATACAACACAGTAGAATACATACAAATATTATGTACAGTTTATGACTGTTCTTCCTATCCCTTCAACCTTTCACCCTTCCTTTTTACGTTGAGAATAGAGTGTTTACTCCCGGCATGCTTTAATACCGCTTTGTGCTAACATAAATTACTTGATTCATATTCCTGTAGCAAAAATCATAGATTTTATATGTTTGAGATTTCTCTTGCATGAAAATCTTTTCTGATTGGATAAAGACAAAAGGCATACTATGTATACTCTTGTGAATTATCTGAATTTTCTTAAGTTGTTATTTATTAACTTCACGATAATATTTCAGCACAAATTTCGTCATTGTATTTGATTACAGGATGCATTACCTGTCGTAGACAAGATAGCCGATTTAATCCCTGAAGTTCCAGTTGTGCCAGAATTGAAAACTGATATGGTACGAGTATTTAATATTTCCTATTTATATTGAATAAAATATCATTTTCGTCTGTTGACTTATAATTTTCTTGTTTCCTAGGAGACAACGAGTGATGTTGCAGTGGCCAACTAAACGGAAGCCTAAAGTCGACTGTCACACTACAACATCTCGATGCGCGCGTCTAAAATGCCTTTAATTTATTTTTCCATTAGCTGTGGTGTGATATCGAACTAAGTTCGATGAGTCAATATCAGAGAAGTGGATTTCGGTTTCAAATGTGACCTTTCTCATAGAATTATTATAGTTTAAGTTTAGAGTGCTTTGCTTAAGATTTTATACATTTTTAATTCGCTAGGATGGAGTTTTTCATATTATATTACAATAACAAAGTTATGTAGGCAGTATACGGTGCGATTGATAAGTTGGTGCCATTGTTACAGGGGTATAGTTATTTCGTGGCGTGTGACTCTCCTAAAAAAGCTTGCATTTCATTATACTACTTAACAAATTTACAGTCTACGGTAACTACAAACTACGCTACTGCGTACAGTACACATTTATAATTTCTTCATTAACATTTAAAATAAGGTTTCATAAGTTATTTTAATCTACGACTGGTAAACATGGGGGAAGACTGATTCTGTTTCAATAACGGCTATGTATTGTTGTATATTTTCCGTGTATCCGTCACATTTGCCATAAATCGCAAAATCTATGCAACTGCTTTTCGTCTCTGAAAAGCTGTTATCATTCTACCAGATTTTCAAATATGAATTATTTAAAATACCACTTGAATATTATAATTATCGTAAGTTCTTAGTACTTGAGACATTAATATTATTATTATGTATATATGAATAATTGAGTTTTCATGATACTAAATTTTTCTGTTTTGTGTCAATTTGAAGTTTAAAAATTACATTGTATATTGTTGAGAATGTGGAAAAAAATTACATTCTTTTATGTCGTGAGCGTCTCGGACTTCTGTTAAATCTACTCCTTGTATGTTAATAAGTTGTATTAATTTAGTTTGCGCTCTCTTTAATACAAACAAAAAAATTAATTATAATATTGGTACATGTATGTATTTAGGCTCGAAATTATATTTAGGCAACTATATTAATTAATCTAACATACTCTTATTATTAAATTTTTTATACAATTTGGGAATGATCTGAGAAAATATGGACTTAATAATCAGCTGCCAACATTTTTGATTATCCTATACATTTTTATGCATATACATACAAGTAATTATATGGTAATATTTAGATGTGTAGAATTTGTAACAAGTTAGAGATTTAGCATGTTACGGCTGCTATTAGTTAATTGGGTTCCACCTCGTACATACGATTAGATACCTATGTAAGATTTGATATTATTATACATTTGTGTCATTTTTCTATAATCTGCGTCCATTTATTACATGTATGGTTTCGTAATCATTTTTGTAATTTTATACAATTTTTAATGAAATTCAAAGTGACACACAACTGCATTATCGGGAAATATTGTCCCAAATACACTAGCAGTAAATGTGAGTGAGACATTCCATATCAAAGACTAAATTACTTGTTCCATTATCCCACCTTATTATGTTACAATTATTATTGATAGCTTATTTTACGTATTAAAAAGGAAAAGTGCGCCCTTTTTTGTAAGTACTTGAAATACGAATACATTAGTTGGCGTCTTATATTTAATATATCATAATATTTATCTTTTTATTTGTGATATAATGTCATTATTTAATATCATTTGTTTAATAATTTATGGCAGTAGGTATTCGTATGTCAAAAGATTCTCACGTGAATATATAAAAATTATACTATATTATAGGTAGTAGTGTATAATATTGTACATTCAATACCTATAAAATTAATTGTTTATTAATTTGCTTTATGACTGTTTTAAAATGGCAATGTTCATTTAATTATATCTTTTTCCATAGTATTCTATTAAACAAAATTTAAATAAAAACTCAAATTTAATTTAAATTATATTTAGTTATTTCACTCCTGAACATAAATGTAGATTAATATACACTTATTCGAACTTCAATGTTGATGTGTGAATGTCTCTAATAAATAAATTTTGAAAACATTTGTTGATTTTTTAGTTTGTATCCACACAATAAACAATATACTTACAGCCTAGATTACCTCATGGAGGGGGGATATTTTTCATAAATGCCACGCTTGGAAATCGAGTGGGCTACCGCAGATTTTTATTTGGTTGTAGTGGTATAAATAAAATAGTTAATTGCAGTATGGAACTACTACTAAACCAAAACCCGCGTATACAAAGTAGTCTGGGTGCCGAAACTTCATACCTGTCATGTGTCTAATGGTCGCCACAGACGGTCGCCTAAAGTGATCAGTTAAACTGATATCAGTTCAAACGAATTTAAGCCAAATAAGTTCCACACTTACGGTCAATTAAACTGATATCGATTCAAACTGATTAAAACCAAAGAAAGCTCCACGCACGGTCAGTACAAACTAGGACCAAAATTTAACAAAATAATTTTTTCAAAATATCGAATTTTCGATATACTTATCGATAATTATAAATATATCAGTATCAGAGTTTTATATATCGAAAAAAATACAAACATACAATCGCGTCACTTTTACGTAGGTATCAAAATCCACCACAAAACATTATTTAAGGCCGAATACGAAGAGAACTGGCGAAAATTAATGTATTTCTCTTGACTAGAACTTTGACCTGAAGTAATTCTAAGCTTTAAAACATTTTTGTAGGTTTGTTCGGGTCCTTCACAAGGTCACCGTCATTTTAAAATAAATGAATATACCAACAAATAAAAAAATGTTAAGAAATGATATATAAAATTATTGTTCTTCCAAAACTCTGTGAATTTTAATTTAGGAAAAATTCTTTTACGTAAAAATGTTTGTATTGTGATTCCGAAGGTACCTGCTATCTTTATTTTCGATACAAAATATTATTTATTAACATAATTCGTTTTAACCCTAGAACTGTACCCATAATAGACTTTCAATAACAGTACCCAGGGGTTCTAGTATACCCCGTTAAATAAAACACTTTTTTACATAAGAATAGACATTTATTAATAATCAACATACATAGACTTTATGGCACTTATTTCAGTCTCACGTTACATAATTAAACAAAAAATTAATAAACTTAACAAATCTTTTTTTGGTGCTCTAAAAATATAAAACTTTTACATTTTTCATATCGAGTGCGTGATTTACGGTCTTTTGACCTGGGACAAAATGAACATCTACCAGATTTTGAATCTGAAGAAGATGGAGAACTAGAAGGTCGTGTTTTTTCTAAAATACCGCCAATACTTATTTGTAGATGCATAGGCAAAGTTTAATATAAAAATCGGTCCTCCAAAAAGGTTTTATAAGGTCAAAAGCTAAGACCTTCAGAAAACCGTCTGTTCTTGAAAACTTGTTTACCATTGGCTTTTGATGAATGCAGTAATATCATGGAGTTAATTCCCACAATGTTCAAAATTCCGTAGAATACACAAAGGCCCCAGCGACGAGTTTTGCGAGAAACACTGTATGTATGACAAAGCTGATCAAAAGTATCCACTCCTCCTTTCGTTTGATTATAAAAACTTATTATATCTGGTAAATCGAGAGATTTGTCTTCGTCTGGTTGATAGTGCATAGCAGAAAGCATAATCACGTTTTTCTTTTTTCCTTTACTTAGCTTTGGAGGCACATATGATAACAGAGTAAGTTCGTCATGAAAAGCAAACATTGATATGTTCTTGAGGCGGTTTTTGGTTTCCAAAAAATGAGTAGGGATTTATGTTTTATTTTTTTCATTGTTCCAACTATTGTAACATTTTTGGTTAAGAGTTTTTCGGCAGCAGGGATTGAAGTAAACCAGTTATCGTACGTGATATTTCTATTAGACCCATGAATAGAAGTTGAAAGCTCCAATGCGTAATACTCAGCCACTGGTAATTCACGTGGTGTAGAATCTTTTCCAGTGATTATTATACTATTTATCATATAATAAAATTTTGCATCACAAAACATTAACAGTTTTATTCCATATTTATCGGGTTTTGACGGAATATACATACGGAATGGGCATCTACCGCGAAACCCAAGTAATTGCTCGTCAATCGTTTTGAAAAGTGAAGGTGAATAAAGACTTTTTGAAGTTTCAACAATGTGATCGAACAGTTCTTTTATTGGTGCCAATGGTGTAGACCGAAAATAGTTGATGCCCGTATTTTATCAAATATTTCTTTGACAGACAAGTGATTAATTTTTAAAACTCCAGCTAAATAGTATAAGCCAAAGAGAGCTTTTAATTCGGTTACTGTTACATCTCGGACAAAAGAAGGTCGAATACTTGTAGGAACAGAATTATCATCATCATCATCACTTTGAAATGCTATTGGCCTGTCTGACTTATACTGCTTGCGCTGTTCAGATATCTCAAGATTAGTATTAGTTACTATCATATGCAAAATCTCATCCGTAAAAAATAATTTCCAACTATCTAAGGTACTGGTAGTAAATTTAGCAAGAGATTTATTTCCTGGTGCATGAAATATTATATTTCTTTGTGGAGTACGCGAGGAACGGCGATGAGTCCAATACCACAGAAATTTTTCGCTAGTTTTTTGCTTTTTTGTTCCTTTACCTCGCAAAACTTCGGGTACTGTAAGAACTGTTACTGGAGAATTTCTGATTTTAACTTGGACAATATCCTCTTCAATTTCTTCTTCCGAACTTTCAAGATCTGTTTCATGGTTAGAGCCATCCTCTTCGACAGGAACCTGTTCATCGCGAAAATCGGGAATAATTTCAACCAGTTCATCTTCAATTCATCCCCAAGAAACACTTCATCTTCATCACGAACGTCCAGAAGGAGGTTTTGAATTTAATTTTCTGAAAGGTTTTTTCTTGACGCCATCTAAAAAGAATTACAAAAAATTCGTTACTAAACAAAATAACGTAAATAAAAATGTATAAATATTGCGAATAAATATTAAGTACAAACACATTGTATGCAGACAAAGTTACTTCTAAGGTAATATTGCAATGTTAAAACTAAAATCATGAATCAAACAAAAAATATCATAGATTATTTCATAAAAAACATCCACT